GAAATTGCTTTGAGCAATATAAAACATATGCCACAGTGCATTCATTAAATAACTCTGCACAACAAATTCCTTCTATATAAATGACTTACCTCATTACTTATCAAAAGTTCTTCTCTAGAACTGTGGAAGAGGTATTCATACCATTTATAGTGTTTAAATAAGCTGGAAAATAAGAGAATATAGTACTATTATAGCTGTAAATCTCTAGAAACATGACAACATTAAAAATTTCTGTTCAAATAAGAGTTACTCTCCAGCATGGCAATACTCCAGATTTTAAAAATAAATGCTTGTTTAACTTCAAGTACAACATGTAGAATATTTGATTTACAGGACTTAATATCAGATGGCCATAGAAAATACAGTATGAGACTTAAAAGTACATCCACCTTGTCCATATGAAATTGAACTCTGAGAAGACAAAGTTCTACTCTGAAAAAAGTAATTCCTGAAACACTTATCACCAGGATGCTTATGCCTTTAATATCAGCAATAGTGGACAAGAAGGAAACAAAGTCAAATCAGCTTTCAGATTCTGGGATGGGCTGCCAGTCCAGGGAGCAAGTTTGGTCTTGAAAAACCAAAACAATGAAGAATGGAAGCATTTATTCTCTCAAGGTCACGTTGCAAAATCAGGGTAGTATTTCCTCAAAGAAAAACTAAAAAACAAGATTGTCACACCAGAGTTTTGTGTATTACAACAAAAGTAACTTGAAGTAGACTTTCTCAATGGCCTAAAATATCCTTAAAACATACATGGCTTGCCTTTTCACATGTTTTAAATAATTTTCCTTGTTCCCTTTCCTGATGATCAATGATATGGAATTTGTTTAATCAAAGGCTTGGTTTGTCACAGTCCATCTGTTACCATTATTTGTTCTCTTAAAATTACGCTATAGAACTTCTGGCTTCTGTCGTGTCATTTTGACATACAATTTAAAACACAGCCCTGTGATTTCATAGCAAGTCCAGGTTGAAGAAAGATTCCAAGAATAAAACATGACATACCCATGAAAGATACAGCAATGTCTGCAAGAAACACCTGTAGCTGGTTCCTGTGCTTTCTGGCTAAGGACAGGACACAGGTTCTTCAGAGAGCCATCAACTGGGACAGCAATGTCTCTTGCTTGGCACTTACAAGGCCACATCTGGAACACAGATGCCTGCTGTGAGGAGGGCCATCTAGCACATGGCCTCCAAAAGGCCCTTCCAACCTTAACTTTACTATGGGTCTATGAAAGTAACTACCACATCCAACACACAGGATTTCCTAGGGAATGCTAAAGATGCTGCTCCTAGCTGCAGGCTAGCAGGCTAATGCTATGAAAGCAGGTTTTACAACAGCAGTGCCTGGCCCCACAGCCCAGCCCAGGCGTGGTGCTCCCCGAGGCTCTCCGACAGCCAGCCTCTGCAGGAGGGACACGGCTGCCTGAGTACAGTCCTGCCTCTGGAGGTAAGAGGGAAGCCAGCTGTGGGAGTGGACAGTCGGTAGGCACTGTTTTAGCTGACTGTCCTTCCCTGAACCACCGGCAGTACTTACACCCTGCCTCAGCCCACTGCCACAGCACCCAAAGTCCCACAAGGACTGCAGACCAGAGATGAGGCACTCTTCATTTCCGCAGCGCTGAAGTGCCGACTAACGTACAGCAGTGGTTCTTCCAGCCCATGAGAGCAGCTCCAAATCAGGAGAATAAAGTGGTGGCGTGGCCTGCCTCTCTTACAAGACAACTGTACATCTTCCAGCAGTTAGTCAAATGCATCTGTGAAACTTTCAACTTCATTTCGACCCGAAAGGGCGCAGACATTTTTCCATATGTGTACAGATGCATTTCCCAATTTGGTGAGAAGTATGGCAGCCTCATTGAACATTTGGCTCTTTAAGTACCATAATAAAAGTTTTATTCTACAGCTGCATTTTCAGTAATTAAATTGCCATTAGTTAAAAAACAAATTTGTTTACCAACTTGCATAAGGAATTTGGCTACCACGATCTACAGGTTCCCTTCCTTCAAACCAAAGCACACAGCCAATAAATTAAGTTGTTACAGTATTTGTCATTTCATTTGTAGTACATTTTATCACAGTACTTCACCAAAAAATTCCTGCCGTGTTTCAGTAGAGATACAGGAATTAGGTTTAAGCAGACTTCAGGATTTAACCTGGAAATTATATCAGCTGATGGAAATACATGTGCCCCCTCACATACACACCTATTATGTGGTAAAATTCTAACAGGAATTGTTTAAAAAACACAAAAAATATTTTATGAACATCACAGACACACAAGAAATAAGATATGTATCTTTCAGACTACACTGATAGAACTCAACATTTCAAACTTTTTGATTTCATTTATTGCAGTGCCTTGGAAAAGAGCCATATGTACAACACCTGAAAATAAGTTCTTCCCCATCCCTTCCAAATGTGTTATAATAATCTTTGTGGACTATGTTACACATGCAGATCACTTATAATATTTCCTCAAATATAAGTCACTGCTTGTGGCATTTCTGGATTTTATTTTTAAACAGAACTCTGTTCAAACTGGCACCCTTAATCCTATATCAAGGAAAGAATTCCTCAATTTAATGCTCTTCAAATTATGTAAACTATACATCAGTATTTATTCTGAAATGACTGCAGAGTTTTCTTTCCTCTGTTAGACATTATACAAAATGCTTTTTTGTTTCTATCTGTTGTGAACAATTAAAAAAAATCCATACCAATGTTTTTAGCAATTACACCAAGATAATTTTACTCGTGCAAGTATAATTTTTAAGAATAGACCCTCTTATGATGTCATGTGAGAATCTGAAGGTGATTAACAATGACATATTTCCCTAGCTCCACTGCTTCCTGAAAGAAAATGTCAAGAGCTATGTTGATGGGTGTTTGCCCAAGGAGACAAGATAAAAAGATGATAAGTGTCAACTTCTACCAAAACTCAAGGTGTCATTATAGTTGCTGCATAGTTTGTGCCAATGTGGTTAAGCATTTGTCCCCATTTCCATTATAAATCCCATGGGTTTATAGCTCATCTGTAAAAATGTGATCCAAACTAAAACATGTCACACTATCTTGAGCAGAATTAAAAAAGCTATAGGCCTGTCATTTAAAGTTAAACAAAAAGAGTGAAGAACAAGAAAAAAAAACATTGAATACATTAATCTGAAGTGTAATAAAACTCAGTTAACCTGTTTCTGAGTTCATAAAGTTCAAAATACACCCACATAAGTGTGCTGATTCTGTTCTTTTTTTTTTAAATATTCAAATGAGTGAAAATGTATCTTATAAAGAGGACACATATGACAGTAGATTTCGGTGTACATCTATGTATCTATGACCTTGCAATAGCACAATACTTGTAATAAATTGAGCAGTTTGAACACATGATCACATATTTAGTGGCCAAAATATCATTCAAAAGTCTCATGGCTTGATTGTATTCATACATAATACTTCAGTGGTGCTCAGACAGAGCACCTAATCTCTTGGATGTAATCCTTGCAGCTATGAAGGAATTACTTAATGGACAAGGTATGTCTCAACAGGTGATTTACACAAGAGCTATAGATGTCTTATTTGGAAAAAACATTCATTCCAAATAAATATACAAAAGGCATAGACAGGAATGGAGAAGTAAAAGAAGCTGAGACATCTTAAATGCCAAATCTCCTTTTAGTTTAAGGCTAGTACTTGGCAAGACATTAGTTTGCTTTGACTAAAGAAATCTGAGGTTTAAAAGAAGTGTTCTCATTTACTATGGAAAGAACCTGAAGTTTTTTATGTTTTCCATGAAAAAGAAACACAAGAAAAAAAAAATTAGAGAGCAGGAGACAGAGACAAACTTTATAGTTCAACTGTAAGAGAAATCACCTGTGATAGGTTTAAATTTCATCTGAATCTGAGCACCCTAAACTGGAAGGCTATCAGACATCCTAGTAATTTTTTTGCCTGTTTTCAGGAGGAAATAGTTTTCTGCATCCAGGAAAGCACTCTAGAAAATCCTCTTTTGAACATGTTAAACTTTTCCTAGCAAAAGAACAGTTAGAAAATTCCCAACAAGTGTTTGTACAGCTCAGTCATGACCTGACTTTTTATGCCCATCTGCCACGAAATCTCTCTAACTACCGTTCAGGTCAGAAAATGAGCTGAAGGGTGACAGATGTAGTACAGTGTAGGAGCATATACAACAGTACCTTTGCCATTTCCCACCTCCTTGCCCCCAACATAAATGGGTGACACAACAGCTTGAGAAACATTCTGTCCCTCATGTACTAGAAATAGTGGTATATGAATATAGCCACAGTCTTAACTGTGGCATTTTAGTGGAGAAAAGTTTGTGTATGTTACTGTATAGTTAGGACTTTACACTTAGAAGTGTGATCAGCTGCTATCAGACCCTTAACTTTTTTTCTCAGATAAATAACTGAATTACTACTGTTTGTATCTCTTTCTGTGTCTCTGTTTAAAAGCTGAGATCTATCACAAACTCTTTCCATGAATAGACTGAACTTTTGCTAACTTTGAAATGACACATTTTTATGACTCATATATTATCATAGCCTTAATTCTGTAAAGTACATAGCTGTAAACCACTTCAGAAGTCCACTACAGCTGTCAAGGCCAGAAAAATACTCAGACTTACAGATGAGACCTAGGATTTTTTTCAGTTGGAATCCAAAAGTAGAATGTTTTAAGAACAAACCGAGAATATTTTCTATACAGCATTCTCCCTTCTTCTTTTTATCATACAAAACAAAACCCAGAAGGAAGCTTTTCAGCATAATCTTACATTTTGATAAACTTAGTCTAAATTCATTTCCTGGGCTTTGACAACTGAGGCCTGATCTTTACTGCTATTGCATATTCTCTCTTCTTAACGTTTTCAAGTTTGGTTCATGCAATATGTTGGCACTGTAAATACATCCAATGATCTAATTTTAACTTATTTTATCTGCTGATTTCCCACCACAGTAAATTACTCAAATAAGAAATACCAGATCCCATAGAAATAAATACCTGATATTCAAGTAATCAATGATTGCTTTGGCTTGCTCAATGCTGAAGAAATTCAAGTCACCACTTCTTTCTGAATCAGTTTCTCCTATCCCAGCCATTGCTCTTCCAAGTTCCTTTAAATTATCTCCTAAGGTCATATGCTTGTCTGCAAAGTAATATCAAAGAACAGAAACAGGAAAGGGCAGAAGTTTTTTTTTGCACAATTATAAGACTTCTGGAAATTTAAGAATTTATGAGCCATGTAGAAACTTAAAATGCAACAGCAGTTAAACATTTTTGTCTGTCACCATTACTCTTATCAACAAAATGTGCCTTAAAGTTCCACCACAAAATTGCCAACCAGCCTTCATAATGTAAGGATCACAAAATGTGTTTACAATAGTACAGTTCTGTCTCTTACTTATGCAGAGATAAACACAAGCAGAATAGTATGTAAATTTGAGATGCATAGTATGTTTATTTTAACAATAAATTTACTACTGTTTATGTATTATAAAAGGTCGTTCTTCTGACCACGTCCCTTGCAATATAAACTATTAATACAGGAAGTGATATTTAAAAAGTTAATCAATTTTTAAGTGCATACAGTCATAACTGATTGAACTTGAATATGCATAACACTCTGCATGTATCATCCAATCTGGAGACATTCTTTTCAATCCCCAAAATAGATAAAACCAAATGCTAAACCAGCTTTGAATTTAAATTTATTTTTCTTAACTGTCTTGACAAAGAAGAAAAGCTGAAATCAGTGTTTGCTGAACCTTTAAAAAGAAAAAAATTCATCTTTCTGATTGTAGTACAGTGTGTGCCATCACTAGGACCATGGTGGAGTTTAAAAAAAAAAGTTTTGAGTACAATTTACTTGTTCAAGTCTAAAAAAACGTAGAGTAGAAAATGGGGAATATCCGCCAGTGGTGAAATAGATTTATTTTCTTTATTGTTTTAATTCTCTACTGATCTGCTCCTTGGTTCTTTGTACAGAAAACAAATTTAAAAGCTTACAAGAGTCTGGTCTTTATAGTTTTGCCCTTCAGTGGTACAGCAATCGACACCTGAAAATTTCACCTTAGTTTTTGGTAACAGAGGCAGCACAATATAAATAACCATAATGGAAGAAAGAAGGAAGAAATAGTGTGGAGGAAATAGAAACCATGGGAAATGAAAAAGGATAACAGAACCAGAAATACCACTGCTAGTAGGGAAGTGAAGTCTTATAACAAGAGCATGAGAAGTCACAACACCCAGGCCAAGGTCTGTCCCCAGCTAGTCCTAATTTTCTCTTTCCTCTGCACACCTGATTTTCAGTCCCAACTACCTCTCTCAGGAAGGCTCTGACAGTACTTCTGTGATGTAAGGAGCACTTCACTCTGAGCCTACAGGAGATGAATCAAAACATGTGACTAATTCATTCTGGCTCCCAAGCAGCCAAAGGCTCCAGTTGCCAAACCTTAGTTTTCCTCTCTTTTACTAGCCTCAAATGAATTTCCACCACACTCTTCTAAATCCATTCTTCCTGTTCCATGCTACTTTTGCTGTTATGGTCAAGTAAGCCAAATTCTCCAGGCTGTTTGGGTCCAGTGTAGGGCAGGAAAAGCAAATGGTCATTCATATAGAAGACATGAGCATTTTGCTCTTAGTTGAAATGCCTGGTCTTGGAACTTGCACCAGCTGAGAACAGTAATTACAAGGAAATTCACCTCAGCCCTGGGCTACAGGATACTTTATAAGATGGATTATTCAGGAAACTTAGATGTGAAGAAAATATAAGAAGTCTCCTGTAAGCATTTACAAACTGCATTTTCTTCCCCTAAAAGCCATGTATCTTAGCCAAATCTGAAGGGATTTTCACAGCACAGCAAAAAGCAAATTCACAACACTTGCTTGCCAAACCTTATGTCTCTCCTTCAAAACACAGGGGTATTAGAGCTGTTAAAAAAAGAAAGCACAAAATAATACTTTTTCCCCCCACATCCTCTGTCTGCAAGCCCATTGAAGTGTTTTAGTTGTAATTTTATATATAGATTAATCAGAGGCAGACACTGCCCTGGAAAATCTCAGCTTAAAGAGTTAAAGTTTGGCAAAGCTTTATGCAACTAAGATCCCAGTCCTGAAAAACATCAGTCAGCTTTAATAATCAGTTGTGCTACCAGCCTGTCTAGTACACATGCATTATACACAGTCTCATAAAACTCATTTCTGACATGTTTCCATTCTTCTCCATTGTTATATTAATATAGTTAGCATATGTTGAGATATTTTCTTATTGAGGACAGGAAGTACAACTAGAATACCAATGATCATAAAGCACGTACATATCCTGTCAAAATTCCAAGTCAGAAAAGCCCTTGAACCAAAATACAATGAAAGAGTATAATAACTATTATGAGCTTGATTTTAAATATTCATTTTCTCTTTAAATGGAACTGCTGAGTCCTTCTGCTCTTCCTCTGGGATGGACTTTTCTCAACATAATCACCTTCAAAGTGAATGTTAAGTAAGCATTATGATCTCTGAAAAACAGGTTTTTAGAGGATGCTGCTACATTTTTTTCCTGGCTAGTTTGTTCCCACTAGACCCAAGCTACATGCTTTGTGACAGATTTCCTCATAGCCACAGGAGCTACAGTCCTTCCATTTTTCATCTTCAGCAGTGACGCCAGTTTACTTCCCACACCAGTCTTTAGTTAACTGATATATTTTTTGCCAGAAGTGCAGCATTTGCCATATAGAAAACTGCCTGAGAATTGACCTCCAAGGATAAAGCAAATGTAATTCACCTGCTGTAATGCTACAGGATGTACTGAATATCTCAAACAGTAGAGAAATGTGCCCAAGGCTACAGTGAGCCAGTCACTGAGACAGCTGGAATTGGAATTTAGAAGCTCTTTGCTCTCACTCTACTATAATTATTATTTATTTTACCATAGCAAAGATGAGGTCTCCTCAGGACCTGGCCCTTTTGTACCACATCCTGTACAAACAAAGCATGAGGAATACTCTGCTAAAAAGACTACAGTTCTCTTTAAGTAAAGTTTAATGTCTGCCCATAAGAATTATTTTCAGGTACAAGGTATAACATGCCAACATTGAAGAGGAAAATAAATCATTTTACAATTAGTTGTAATTAAATATCACTTTATTAAAATGACTGGAAAACATTCTTGCCTCCCACTTCAGATATTTATTTTACAATTTTTAATTATACTTACCGCTAAGGTTCTTCAACAGGAAATTTAATAGATCCATGAATCCTGAGAGCTGTATAAGACTGAAGTTCATTTCTTTAGCCCACCAAAATCCTGCAGTGTAATAATCCAGCACAATAGCTTCTTTCAAAGATGTCTTTAATTGTTTAAAATTCAGAAATTCTTCCAGCTGTCTGGAATAAATTGCAGAGTAAAATAATGAAAATAAAAAATAAATTATGGATTCCAAAGTTTCACTTAGTCTGTTTGTAATTATATCTATAATATTTAGCATTATATTTTATACCTATGTATGTATCTTCCTGGAACTTAGCTACACCAGTTTCTAGATATAAACATTTATGATTACAGTACATATCAACTGAAAAAAGTAAACAAACATCTACAGGTTTCAGAAGACACTATTTAAATGTTAAGATACAATTAATGAAATAACAAAAATACAAGCGTTACAAAAATCAAAGAAAAATAATCTGAAAATCCCAGAGAAAAATCAGTGTTTGTTCAGGAAGGGGGTTGTAGGATGAAATGTAACAATGAGTTTCCACTTTCTACAACCACTCTGTCACCCTGATTGAGTTAGTTTTACAGTACAGAAAGACCTTCCCTTTCAAGCTTACTTTTCATTTAGCCCACAAAGAAAAAATGCATTTGAAAATTAATGTAAATAATGTAATACAAATTTACTAAAAGTACCTAAAATATTTTAGCTTAAATTCCACTTTTGTAATGGTTAAGACATTTAAGAAGAGCCTTATCCTAATTTACTGGCACACTGAGGAAATTTTTCCACTTACTTTAACTTGAAAAATTAATGAAAACCCACACTCCCTTCTAGGAGACCACGCTGTTGCTGACACATTTATGTGTACTCTATCCAAACATAGAATTACTTATATCTTTTATAATAATTGTGTACATTTTTCCACATGAAGAGAGGAGATGGGGGCTAGGACTTCAGATTGCAGTTCTTCCAGTGTAAATTCCTTCAGCCATATCTCAAGTAGTTAAGTTTTACATTAAAGCAATCCTTGGCTTCTTAACTATACCTGATGATAAAGGTGCCAGTTGTGATCACAGTTTCTAGTCTCCTGTAAAAGAACGAGTCATTTTTCCCCCCCTCCTGCTTCTCATTCCTGCCTAAGAAGGGCATTAACCTCAGACCTACTGATAGGCAACCATCAGTTTTTCAGGGTTTTCATCAAGCCAGTAGACACATTGTCAAATAAGATGTTTCTTTTTTTTTTTTAATTAAAACCTCAATAGCTAACAAAGTAAAACATTTAATACAAGCAGTTTTGTTTAAAATATGTATTCCTTTGTTCTGCATGACAAATTTGTATGGCTGCACACATGCAAGTCAGTTAAAAACACTTAACTGTGTACTGAAATAGAAATGGATGGTGGCCAGCTGAACTTTCCAAGGTTTGAAACAGTCCATATCCTCTCTTTCTGAAGCTTCTGCCAACTCTGTGTTTTCATAATCAGAGCTTCTCGGGGATTTAGATTTTCTCTGATGCTGCTAACAATGCCAGGACTCATCTTTTCAATATTCTGTAAGGCATGTCACTGATAACAGTGTCTATAAATGACTGGGAAATGATAGGGAGTTTTGATCACCTAGTTACCCTGGTTGTTATTCCTTCCTTCACGGAAGATGCACAAGTCCCGTGGAGATGGACAGCCATATATAAGTCCATGACAGATGGGAATGCAGGACAAGAAAATTTCTAGCCTGAATCACATCTATTCTGATTTTCTAAGCGTAGCTGTGGCCTTTAAACTGCTCTTGTGTACAGACATGATACACTGTTGTAAGCTAACAAAATTTCAGTGCCATTGCTAAACTGCTTAGAGTGCATAAAATCCCCTGTAACCAGCTTCTTTCCACTCAGGTGCAGTACACACTTTACATTCATAGAATCCTAGAATCCTTTAGGTTGGAAGGGACCTTCAACATTCCACTTGTACAGTGCACAGGTAAAAATACACGGGACGAGCTGAGACTAAGAAATGTATGATCTTTCAATGCTTTCCTTACCAATCTTAATGAGAAAGTTTCACAATAAATTGCATCATTAAGCACATTTTAGTCTCCAGTTAGTTGTGTGCTTTGATTGCCTCTAAAATAAGAGGCAATCTTCTGTTTTCTCCTATCAGGGAGGAGGAAGCAGTAAATGAAAGAAGTTTTATTTTCTGTTATTTGACAGGAACAATTTTTTTTTTCCCAGTTTTCTTTAAAAAAGAAATCTCAGAAAGAACTAAGTAGGAGAAACAGAATATATTTCAGGGATAAAATTTTAATCTCTATTAAATAGTTTATCTAATTAGAGGGACAAGTTCAGAATTTTTATCACATATATCTCACTGCCCCCCGCTAATCCATCGGACCAGCCCTTTGGCTTCACTAAGAATTTGCTAGTGGCCACAAGTGCTCCTAAATAATTTGGGCACTTCTGAAAAGTCCCACCCTTAAAATATAAGTCTGGAGTCTCAGGTTGAACTCTTGGCCTCCTAAATTTAGCTGCTACTAAGTACTAATAACAAGGGAGAGTGTTGCTACAGGAAAGACAAAATGGGCTTGCATCAGAAGTCTTTGGCTGCCTCCTATTTCCCCAGTGCACCATAACAGTTACCTACTTAAGTTACCTTCTTAAGCTTCCCATCTCTGTCTGAACTTATAAAACCTTTCTGATTTTTCAGTAACCCACGTTACAGTACAGAATCTTAAACGTTTTAGCAAGAACATTACAAAGTGAAACTTAAAAAAAACCAGCTCAATATTGGCCTCTTCTTATTTACATCTTACTATTTCATTTACAGCACATTTAATACTATTGTAAACTCAGAAACCATATTAATGTGAAATATCAGTGGGAAAAAAAATAAAGAAGTCAGCGAAATTAAGAGATATAGGAAATACGGCAAAATAAAGTGGATCTGAGATCAACAGTATTTCTTCCATCCTTTCATTAATCATTAAAAATCGATTATTTAACTGAACAATTAAAGACTAACGATGTAAACATCAGAAATCTAACACATAGTCTATATTCCTTATTTCATTACAATATTGGTTCCAGCATTGTTACCATTGTCACTTACTTTTGAACTCCTTCTATATCTTGTTCTGACAAAGCAGTGATTTGGGAAAGAGAAAGAAAGGTCTGAAGAGACTTCCTTCCAGCTATGGCATCCTGATCTTGGTCTTCTTCCTACACACATGTATGTATATAGGAATATAATTTTTAAAGGTTTATTTTATTATGTCAGTAACTTATCTAAATAGTATTTTTATTTTGAAAAAGTATGCAAGGGATTAATTCAACAAATGCCAAAAATGTAACACAGCTCTATGGCAGCAACACAATACCCTAATACATTTTCACTAGAGAAAAGCTAGGCAGATACATGGAAAAGAGTATTTTTATCTTAAATTCATGGGGGAACATAGTGACATATCATGTTCAGCACAAGATTAAATTAACTTGCAAGTAAAAGCAACAGAAATGAATAGGTGCAAAAAATTCCATGAATCTAGATTTGGCCAACACGATACTAGATTGCACAGTAATTAAATTTTAAAACCAGCTTCTGTTGAAGATATTAGGAGTATACATACACATTACTGTGCTATTTGCTCTCTGCCCTGTATTTGATTGCATTTTCAAATTTACTGTCTGCACTGACTTCTTCCCTAATCAAACTAAGTTCAAGATGTTTGCTGCAACACCGTGAGACACACGCAAGTATCTGACAGGACTGTTCCAGGGAAGGTCAGTGCATCTGTAACACAGAAGGCAGGTTCTTATAGGAAATACAAGGGTGTACATGCATAGGAGATAAGAAACTGAGCATGAACCAACAATGCAACGGTCTCACAAAAAATAGGAACAGTTGATGATATTTTATTTAGTGCGTGTCACTAACCAAAAACATTAGACCAGAGACTTCAGTAAATCAGTAGGAAAAACACCCTCTGTTTTACAATAGAATAGGGAGGTGACAAAGTGAGGTGTCAAAGCACATTATAAAATGTGAGGTGAGGCAGACACTTTACAGAGGTGCATGGTAAGGGAACAACAGTGGTCATACAATATTTCAGCTGGAAGGAACCTACAATATATTAGCATGAGACAGCATAAGGAAAAATATTTCCCAACAAGAATTAGAACAGGTTACCCAGAAAGGTGCAAGAATCCACATCCTTGCAGGTTTTCAAGACTGAACTGGACAAAGCCAGTCTTCAGTCTGAATACAAGCTTCTTGGTTGTATTCAGTGCTGGCCCAGCTCTGAGCAGGCAGCTGAACCAGCTCACCTCCCAAAGAGCCCTTCCAGCCTCATGATGGTGAATCTAACTGGCCTGGCCTGCTTCTGCACCAGGACACAAAAACCTGATCATAGTTTACCCATTCCCTGTACTCTCCTGCATCTGTGGGACTTAGAAGTCTCAGAAGTGCAGAAAGGCAAAGCCTGCAAAATAATGTTTCTAGCTCAGCTAGAGAGAGAAGTGGAAGATTTCCTAACACGAGCTGGTTTTTGAGTCTGAACAGCACTGTTCTGGGCTAACAACCAACTCACTGGTCAAGGAGAGCCCCCAAATAAAGCTACACTACTCCCCCTGCTGCTGCCTAACTGCAAGATATACACAAAACTCTGGGACTGGCTGAATTACCATATTCAAGATTGATGAAACAAGACTGAGAGTAACAAAGACCTTTTAGTGGACAGACTAGTTTTTTTCCTCTGATTAAGCACTAGATTACTTTCACATGTACATTAATATGAAAACCTATTGTTCCCAACTGTAAGGAAGTTAGCCTTAGATACAATGTC